AGGCTTTACAAATGAATTCCATTTTGATTTTTTATTCACATAATGAATTTTTATTCAAACCTAAAAATAGAAGATTTACTGTTATGCAATACTGTAATAATTGTATAAATAATATCACTACATTTGTGAACGTGTATGAGACCCACCAGCTGGCGTGTATTAGACGTGTGGGATCATTTGTTTACTCGTGAACATCGGCAAAAATTTAACATTTCTGCTATTTTGAGCTCAGTTTCAACCCATTTCCATTACTAAAACCAATCAAAATCATCTCTATTTCTGTAATATACCTTCCATTCTATCAAATGAGACCAAGAAATCGCAAATTTTATTTTTTTTATTATCACACTGGCCGATTCCCACCAAGGCAGGGTGGCCCGAAAAAGTAAAACTTTCACCATCATTCACTCCATCACTGTCTTGCCAGAAGGGTGCTTTACACTACAGTTTTTAAACTGCAACATTAACACCCCTCCTTCAGAGTGCAGGCACTGTACTTCCCATCTCCAGGACTCAAGTCCGGCCTGCCGGTTTCCCTGAACCCCTTCATAAATGTTACTTTGCTCACACTCCAACAGCACGTCAAGTATTAAAAACCATTCGTCTCCATTCACTATCAAACACACTCACACACGCCTGCTGGAAGTCCAAGCCCCTCGCACACAAAACCTCCTTTACCCCCTCCCTCCAACCTTTCCTAGGCCGACCCCTACCCCGCCTTCCTTCCACTACAGACTGATACACTCTTGAAGTCATTCTGTCTCGCTCCATTCTCTCTACATGTCCGAACCACCTCAACAACCCTTCCTCAGCCCTCTGGACAACAGTTTTGGTAATCCCGCACCTCCTCCTAACGTCCAAACTACGAATTCTCTGCATTATATTCACACCACACATTGCCCTCAGACATGACATCTCCACTGCCTCCAGCCTTCTCCTCGCTGCAACATTCATCACCCATGCTTCACACCCATATAAGAGCGTTGGTAAAACTATACTCTCATACATTCCCCTCTTTGCCTCCAAGGACAAAGTTCTTTGTCTCCACAGACTCCTAAGTGCACCACTCACCCTTTTCCCCTCATCAATTCTATGATTCACCTCATCCTTCATAGACCCATCCGCTGACACGTCCACTCCCAAATATCTGAATACATTCACCTCCTCCATACTCTCTCCCTCCAATCTGATATCCAGTCTTTCATCACCTAATCCTTTTGTTATCCTCATAACCTTACTCTTTCCTGTATTCACTTTCAATTTTCTTCTTTTGCACACCCTACCAAATTCATCCACCAATCTCTGCAACTTCTCTTCAGAATCTCCCAAGAGCAACTGTGACAACTCCCACTTTATGTGTGATTCTTTATCTTTTAACTCCACACCTCTTGTCAAGACCCTCGCATTTACTTCTCTCACAACCCCATCTATAAATATATTAAACAACCACGGTGACATCACACATCCTTGTCTAAGGCCTACTTTTACTGGGAAATAATTTCCCTCTTTCCTACACACTCTAACTTGAGCCTCACTATCCTCGTAAAAACTCTTCACTGCTTTCAGTAACCTACCTCCTACACCATACACCTGCAACATCTGCCACATTGCCCCCCTATCCACCCTGTCATACGCCTTTTCCAAATCCATAAATGCCACAAAGACCTCTTTAGCCTTATCTAAATACTGTTCACTTATATGTTTCACTGTAAACACCTGATCCACACACCCACTACCTTTCCTAAAGCCTCCTTGTTCATCTGCTATCCTATTCTCTGTCTTGCTCTTAATTCTTTCAATAATAACTCTACCATACACTTTACCAGGTATACTCAACACTCTCTTTTGTCCCCTTTGCCTTTATACAAAGGAACTATGCATGCTCTCTGCCAATCCCTAGGTACCTTACCCTCTTCAATACATTTATTAAATAATTGCACCAACCACTCCAAAACTATATCCCCACCTGCTTTTAACATTTCTATCTTTATCCCATCAATCCCGGCTGCCTTACCCCTTTTCATTTTACCTACCGCCTCACGAACTTCCCCCACACTCACAACTGGCTCTTCCTCACTCCTACAAGATGTTATTCCTCCTTGCCCTATACACGAAATCACAGCCTCCCCATCTTCATCAACATTTAACAATTCCTCAAAATATTCCCTCCATCTTCCCAATACCTCCAACTCTTCATTTAATAACTCCCCTCTCCTATTTTTAACTGACAAATCCATTTGTTCTCTAGGCTTCCTTAACTTGTTAATCTCACTCCAAAACTTTTTCTTGTTTTCAACAAAATTTGTTGATAACATCTCACCCACTCTCTCATTTGCTCTCTCTTTACATTGCTTCACCACTCTCTTAACCTCTCTCTTTTTCTCCATTTACTCTTCCCTCCTTGCATCACTTCTACTTTGTAAAAACTTCTCATATGCTAACTTTTTCTCCCTTACTACTCTCTTTACATCATCATTCCACCAATCGCTCCTCTTCCCTCCCGCACCCACTTTCCTGTAACCACAAACTTCTGCTGAACACTCTAACACTACATTTTTAAACCTACCCCATACCTCTTTGACCCCATTGCCTATGCTCTCATTAGCCCATCTATCCTCCAAAAGCTTTTTATATCTTTCCCTAACTGCCTCCTCTTTTAGTTTGTAAACATTCACCTCTCTCTTCCCTGATGCTTCTATTCTCCTTGTATCCATCTACCTTTTACTCTCAGTGTAGCTACAACTAAAAAGTGATCTGATATATCTGTGGCCCCTCTATAAACATGTACATCCTGAAGTCTACTCAACAGTCTTTTATCTACCAATACATAATCCAACAAACTACTGTCATTTCGCCCTACATCATATCTTGTATACTTATTTATCCTCTTTTTTTTAAAAATATGTATTACCTATAACTAAACCCCTTTTCTATACAAAGTTCAATCAAAGGGCTCCCATTATCATTTACACCTGGCACCCCAAACTTACCTACCACACCCTCTCTAAAAGTTTCTCCTACTTTAGCATTTAGGTCCCCTACCACAATTACTCTCTCACTTGGTTCAAAGGCTCCTATACATTCACTTAACATCTCCCAAAATCTCTCTCTTCTCCTCTGCATTCCTCTCTTCCAGGTGCATACACGCTTATTATGACCCATTTCTCGCATCCAACCTTTACTTTAATCCACATAATTCTTGCATTTACACATTCATATTCTCTTTTCTCCTTCCATAACTGATCATTCAACATTACTGCTACCCCTTCCTTTGCTCTAACTCTCTCAGATACTCCAGACTTAATCCCATTTATTTCCCCCCACCGAAACTTCCCTACCCCCTTCAGCTTTGTTTCGCTTAGGGCCAGGACATCCAACTTCTTTTCATTCATAACATCAGCAATCATTTGTTTCTTGTCATCCGCACTACATCCACGCACATTCAAGCATCCCAGTTTTATAAAGTTTTTCTTTTTCTCTTTAGTAAATGTTTACAGGAGAAGGGGTTACTAGCCCATTGCTCCCGGCATTTTAGTCGCCTCATACGACACGCATGGCTTACGGAGGAAAGATTCTTTTCCACTTCCCCATGGAGAAGAACAAGAGCTATTTAGAAAAAGGGGAAAAACCTAGATGTATGTATATATATATGCATGTGCGTGTCTGTGAAGTGTGACCAAAGTGTAAGTAGGAGTAGCAAGATATCCCTGTTATCTAGCGTGTTTATGAGACAGAAAAAGAAACCAGCAATCCTACCATCATGCAAAACAGTTTCAGGTTTCTGTTTCACAGTCATCTGGCAGGACGGTAGTACTTCCCTGGGTGGTTGCTGTCTACCAACCTACTACCTACTATAAAAAACTACAACTATAAAAAACATACGAAAAAAAACACTGCAAAGTCGCTGTTTTAATAAAAAATTACGGTCTCACTTTTTTCTCTCATTATGCACTGTGTGCTGCAGGATTTGTTTTATGTGGTGCACACATACCACATAGATGTATTCTCATATCTAGGCCCAAATTTACCGCTCACAGCTTATCAGAGCTGAGCTCATGGCGTAGATCTACGGTTTGGACCCTCAACGTATAGCCATAGATCTACGGCACAGACTCTCAAAGGGTTAATGTATTTAACATACTTAACCCTTCTGTACATATTACTAAATTTTAAAGAGAGAATCTTTCATCTTTCTTTTTTGGGCCACCCTGACTTGGTGGGATACAGCTGGTTTGTTGAAAGAAGATTTAACATACCTAGGAATAATTTACTATTATTCTCGTGACAGACACACTTTACCATTGATAAAATTGGAAGTTCAGTTCTTTCATTAAAGAGCCTAACATGGATCCGAGTCTTAACCCTCAAACTATCCAAGCAGATCTACGTTGACATGCGTAGTGCTCCAAAAGTAGATCTACGTTTTTTTTACATATTTTCAAATAAAAAAAAAAACGTAGATCAAAGTAAAAAAAAAAATCTATTTTTTTTTTACATGCTTTCAAATGTTGAAAAAACGTAGATCTACGTCTGGACAGTTTAAGGGTTAAGATAAAGTGGGGTCTGGAACAACTCTTGCAATTTTCAGTGCTCTAGTGTTTCAAACAAAACAGCCAAATTCTTTAAATCAGATATTAAGGCCAAAGCAATTGCTTTTTCAAGTTTACATACATGTCACTTAGTATAAGCATCATAAAATGATAGTACGTACAGGTACTTTATTACTAATATCCCTGCAGTTACAGTACCTAAATGCTTATCATATATTTTTCCCTATTTTTCAGTTTTTCCCAGTTTTTGTAGTCATATTTTTAGTAAATTACGGCAAATGCAAAACTACCCTCTTATTACTGCCTATTCTGAGGCTGTTGCCTACTATCAAAATTTATTTGGAAGTTATATATATCTGATATTAATAATAAACTTGTCAAAAAAAAGTCAATGACTACTAAAACTGCACTCATTTTCAAATATAATACAATCAATCATATGAGTCTTACCTGATCTGAGGAAGGGTAAAGCCCTCATATACTGGACAAATGTGTGTAACACCATCACCTGAGTCAACAACAACACCAGACTGCAAGCCTTGAGCATATAATGTCAGTACAGCTTGAATGGCTACAAAAGCACCAGCAAACCCATACTTTTCAAACATCATCTGAAATTCAAGCATTACACATTAGTTGAACCAAAGACAGACTACATGCCAACTCTAAGCATGGTATTATCTCATTAATATAGAATACAGCCTCTCCTCACTTAGCAACGTACTCGTTTACCGATGACTCGGACTTACGATGGGCTCTCTGACCAGTATGCATACCTAAATAATGTATATTAGAGCTGATTTCCTCTATTCTATTTATCACAATATACAGTGGACCCCCGACATTCGATATTAATCCGTTCCTGAGAGCCATTGAATGTCAAAAATATCGAAAGTCAAATTAATTTTCCCCATAAGAAATAATGGAAATCAAATTAATCCGTGCAAGACACCCAAAAGTATGAAAAAAAAATTTTACCACATGAAATATTAATGCAACAGAATAATTACAATAACAATAGATTAATAACAATAGAATAATTGACACTTAAACCCTTATATATGAAATCTGTTTTATATTGATTTAAGGTGATATGTGGAGAGGGGAAAGTGTGATGATGATGAGTATTTTTTTTGGGGAATTCCCTTTTTTTAGGACTTGCTACGTGGCAGCGCCCATTGTTAAAAAAAAATGGATATGACACTTACTTCTTAAATCTTTAAAGGCAGACTTTGGGTGGTCTTAAATTCACTCCATTAGACTTAATGCAGCAATACTTACCAAAATCAAATTTCATTGTCACATCCCAGGACACATGCACTCCACATTCTTCGTATTTTGCAATTATCTCTCTTCATTTCAATAGTCATTAGCACCTTTTTTCTCGAAGGGTTGGCACTAGAAGCTTTCTTGGGGCCCATGCTTACTTATTTTGCAGAAACAAGCACCAAAAACAGTGATAATATGGATAATATGGAATGTACCGAATGTATCCTTAGATGCGCGACACACTGGCTGGCCTGTAAGCACTGGCACACATGGTGCAGTTCAGGCCACACGTGGACACGTCTCGTACGAATCGTATCGAATGTCGGGTTTTCCATCAAATGTTGAGGTGAAATTTTTGCGTTAAAATGCATCGAATGTCGGATTTATCGAATGTCATGCAATCGAATGTCGGGGGTCCACTCTACAGTAAACTACTGTATAAACATTTAAAAACATACTAAAAATGTTATAAATGGTGTGAGGGGTGACATTAAAGCAGTATCAAAGATAGCTGACATAAACCCACTACCATTATAGCACAGTGGTACCTTGACTTATGAGTGCCCCAACTTGCGAGTTTTCCAAGTTACGAGCCATCGCTCAGTCGATTTTTTGCTTTGAGCTGCAAGCCAAAATCCGAGTTACGAGCGAGCTTCAGATAAGCTGCCACTAGTTGGTGCAGCGAACGCCACAACATCTGCCCCAGCATCCTGTGTCTCACTGTTTACCTCGCCGTGGAAGTACGTCTCTCTCATGTTGTGCCTGCATTTTGTATTTTTTGTGCAGTTATTTTTACTCCACCACTACTTCAACCACTGACTCAACCTCTGCTTCACCCACTGCCTCCACCATGGAAGGTAATGTTCACTCGAGGATAAACAAAACCACACTGACTCACGATGCCTGTGTGGGCAGACGCGCAGGTGAACAGGTCTGGTACATGGGCCAAAACAAGGGGCACAGTGCAAAACTCAGGACAAAATTTAGCTGTAAAAAGTTCTCAAAACTTGAAGTGGCCAAAGCTAGAGGCGGCCAAAACTCGGGGTTCCACTGTAAGTGCAAAGGATAGTACTGCCAAGAAGAAGAGGGTGAAGTCCATTGAATAAAAGCATGAAATTATAAAAAAACACGAGTGAGGTGTGCATGTAGTCAACTTGGCGAGGCAGTATGAGCGTAGTACTTCTACAATATGTACCATACTAAAGCAGGAGTTTTATTCTGTTTTTATACAATGTTTTTATGTTTTTATACAATATTTCTTATTTATAAATAATTTTTATTTAAAAACACGTAACAAAAAAAAATTGGGGTGGCTTTTTGGGGGTCTGAAATGGATTAATGGCATTTCAATAAATTTCACCGAGGAAAATTGATTTGATATACAGTAGATCATCATTTAACCCTCTGACTGTTGCAATCCCAAATCCTGAAGTGTCTCCTGGTGTTGCAAAATATTTGAAAAAAAAAAAAAAAAAAAAAACTTATGAAATGAAAGAGAATTTTTTCCCTACCTTTACCTTTGATATACCTTTGAAGAGCTTCGAAAGTTTATCTACTCTCTGAGCCCGGCCATGGGCCAGGCTCGTCTGGTGCTTGCCTGGTCAACCAGGCTGTTGCTGCTGGAGGCCCACTGCCCCACATATCCATCACAGCCTTGTTGATCTAGCACCTGGTGAAGATACTTGTCCAGTTTCCTCTTGAAGGCTTTTACACTTGTTCCAGCAGTATTTCTAATATCTTCTGGCAAGATGTTGAATAGTCTGAGACCCCGGATATTGATACAGTGTTCCCTTATTGTCCCCACCGCACCCCTGCTCCTCACTGGGTTTATTTTACACTTCCTCTCATATCTCTCACTCCAGTATGTTATGGCAGTGTGCAGATTTGGGACCAAGCCCTCGAGTACCTTCCAGGTACATATCATGTACCTCTCTCTCCTCTGCTCCAATGAGTACATGTTCAAGACTTGCAGGCATTCCCAGTAGTTTAGATGCTTTACTGGTTCAATGTGAGCCATAAGCTATCTCTGTACTTGTTCTAGCTCCGATATTTCTCCTGCCTTGAACGGGATCGTCAGCACTGAGCAATATTCTAAGTGAGGGAACACTAGCGATTTGAAGAGTGTCACCATAGGCATTATTTCTCTTGTTTTGAAAGTTCTCAATACCCACCCCATCATCTTCCTGGCTTTCGTGATCTTTGTCTTGTTATGGTCTTTAAAAGAAAGGTCCGCTGACATAATTATTCCTAGGTCTTTTACGTGTTTCTTACATTCTATTTGGTGACCCTCTTGAGTTTTGTATATAGTGCTCCTTTTGAGTTCTTCATTCTTTCCATACCTAAAGCAGCTGGAACTTCACCACTGAACGTCATGTTGTTCTCCACTGCCCACTGGAAAACCCTGTTTACGTCTTCCTGTGCTTTTTCAGTGTCCTCTACCATACTGACTTTCATGCTTATTTTAGTGTCATCTGCAAATGATGATACAAAAGTGTGCTGGGTGTTTTTGTCTATGTCTGCTATAAGGATGAGGAACAGCAGAGGTGCCAGGACAGTGCCTTGGGGCACTGAACTTTTGACCTCGCTGATGCTGGATCTTGCCCTGTTCACTACTTTTTGTGTTGTGTGTGTTATTAAACCAAAAATCCATCTGCCTACCTTCCCCGTAATGCCCTTGGCCTTCATTTTGTGCGCTATCACCCCATGATCGCATTTGTCAAACTTTTTTTTTTTTTTTCAACAAGTCGGCCGTCTCCCACCGAGGCAGGGTGACCCAAAGAAGAAAGAAAAATCCCCAAAAAGAAAATGCTTTCATCATCATTCAACACTTTCACCACACTCACACATTATCACTGTTTTTGCAGAGGTGCTCAGAATACAACAGTTTAGAAGCATACACATATAAAGATACACAACATATCCCTCCAAACTGCCAATATCCCAAACCCCTCCTTTAAAGTGCAGGCACTGTACTTCCCATTTCCAGGACTCAAAATCTGTATAAATCACATCTGCATTTTGGTCGTCTTCCAGTGCCTCCTTAATTCTGTCATAATGGTTCAGCAGCTGTGACAGACATGATCGTCCTGCTCTAAAACCATGCTGGTTCGGGTTATGTTGGTTGTGCTGGTCCATGAAATTTGTAACCTGCCATCTCATCACTCTTTCGAAGATTTTTATGATGTGAGAGGTTAGGGCTACCAGTCTGTAATTTTTAGCTAGTGCTCTACTACCTCCCTTATGCAAAGGAGCTATGTCTGCACTCTTTAAGGCCTCCAGTACTTCACCTAGATCTAAGCTCTTTCTCCAAAGAATACTGAGGGCTCGTGCTAGTGGTACTTTGCACTTCTTTATAAATAGAGCATTCCATGAATCTGGTCCAGGTGCTGAGTGAGTGGGCATGTTTTCCATTTCTTTTTCGAAATCTATGGGATTTGTACTAATGTCAGTTAGTTGGTCTGTGCGGCCTTCTTCTGGAGTAAAAAATATTTCTGCGTTTTCTACCTTGCTGTCATTTAGTGGGTTGCTGAACACCAACTTGTACTGCTCTTTTAGGATTTCACTCATTTCCTGTTCATCGTCAGTATACGAGTCTCCTCTCAGTAGTGGTCCAATTCTACAGGTAGTTCTTAGCTTGGATTTTGCGTAGGAATAGAAATATTTTCGGTTACTTGCAATATCCTGTATGGCCCTTTGTACTTCTTCTGTGAGGTATGACATCCTAAGGTTTTGCTCTAATTCAGTGATCTCTCTGCTAAGTCTATCTTTCCTCTGTTGTAGCATGTGTGTGTTTTTAAGTAGTTCAGTAACCCGTTTTTCTTCTGTACCATCTCCTACTCTCTCTCTTTATATCTGATCTTCTGGGTTTCCTCAATGGTACATGTTTCATACATACTTTGTATGCTTCTGTATTCAGCTTCTCTAGGCACTGGTGGGGATTTAGGGTGCTCATGTCTGATTCCCAGGGTATGTCTGATAGCTCTTGGTTTATTTTTTCCCAGTCAATTCTATGGTTGTTAAAATTAAACTTACTGAACATCCTGATGATAATGACACCAAAAGTATGAAATTGATGGAAAACTTACAGAATCACGCTCTCGCAAAGTTAGCGACCTCGGCGACATTTATGCATCGGTGATTTCGCCTACATTGAGCCGTATCTTCGGCCAATTCCATTGTTCCAGTCCAACAAACTTATAGCTATTTCTTTAGAATTTAATTTGTTCTATCGATTGAGTACAAGAAACTGCCCATTTACCGATTTCAACTGCCCAATAAATGGTCAGAATTTGGCATTTTGGCCAATTTCATGCAAATTAAAAAATATGTCAATTTCAAAATAGGGTCCAGAATGAACAATGCAGACATTCCTGGCACTAAAATAACATTTTCTCTGATCATCAGTTACGTTTCCAGGCCCCTGTTATAATACTCTTGCTTTCTATTTTGAATTTTTATTCAAACAAAAAATAGAAAATTTACTGTTATGTAGACTACTGCAATATTGTAATAATTGTATAAATAGCATTAACCCATTCATGACTGTGTATTAGAATGGCTAGTTGGACATTTATTGGACAACGACGTCATTTGTTTACTCTTGAACATCAGCAAAAATCGAACATTTCTGCCACTTTGAGCTCCAGTTCAAGATCCTTTTCATAATAAAACCAATCAAAATCACTTCTATTTCTATATGTTTTCAATTCTATCAAATGAGACCAAGAAAATAAGAATACAACCATAAATGCTATATGAAAATACACCTCAAAGTCGGCGTTTTAATCCAAAAAACATGGTCGGTTTTTTTTTTCTCATGCACTGAGTGCTGCAGGATTTTTTTTATACTGGACACACTGACCACACAGACCCATTCTCTCACATGTGGGCCTACCAGCTTTCTCCTGCTTGATTTGAAGCCCCTAGAATTTGAGTATATATACGTCAAACACATGGGCTCGTAAGACATATTATATACAACAAACACTGTCAAAAGGTTAACACGGTAGTACATTCCTGAAAATGGCATGTTAGGCAAAACAGTGTTAGATGAACTGAAGGGTTATGTTCCTGGGAGCCCCAAAAAAGCCAAACAGCCTTTTTTTTGGCCTCAACATCTCACAAAAATAGAAGTGAATATGGAATTGTAGTTCACTGTTGTGATGTATTATGTTGTTTTTACTGGTTAAGACTACAAATGTAACAGAAATAATAATATTTCTTACCTTAAATTGTGGGTGCTAGTTTTTGTAGATGATTGTAAAGAGAGTGGAGAGTTATGCTGTAGCCCTAATGGGCTGAGGTGGATGGTAGAGGTTCTAGTACTGAAGTCGATGGTTGTACTGGAGTGTCTAACTTTAAGTCAGTCAAGTCATTCAGTCAGTCATTCAAGTCATTCAGTCAGTCATTCAAGTCATTCAGTCTAGTCAGTCAAGTCATTCAGTCAGTCATCTTCAAGTCATTCAGTCAGTCATTCAAGTCATGTCATCAGTCAGTCATGTCAGTCATCAAGTCATTCAGTCAGTCATTCAAGTCATTCAGTCAGTCATTCAAGTCATTCAGTCAGTCAGTCAAGTCATTCAGTCAGTCAGTCAAGTCATTCAGTCAGTCATTCAAGTCATTCATATCATTCAAGTCATAGTCGCATAGTCATTCAGTCAGTCAGTTCAAGTCATTCAGTCAGTCATCAAGTCATTCAGTCAGTCATTCAAGTCATTCAGTCAGTCATTCAAGTCATTCAGTCAGTCATTCAAGTCATTCAGTCAGTCAGTCTCCATATTACAGAATGGACATAAATTCGTTAGAAAACATTCAGCATAGGATGACTAAATTAATACATAGCATTAGAAATCTTCCTTATGAAGAAAGATTGAAGACTCTTAAATTACATTCACTTGTTAGACGAAGAATGAGGGGAGACCTGATCGAAGTGTATAAGTGGAAGATAGGTATTAATAAAGGGGATATTAACAAGGTCTTGAGGATATCTCTCCAAGAGAGAACCCGCAGTAATGGATTTAAATTAGATAAGTTTAGATTTAGAAAGGACATAGGAAAGTATTGGTTTGGAAATAGGGTAGTTGATGAGTGGAACAGTCTACCTAGTTGGGTTATTGAGGCTGGGACTTTGGGTAGTTTCAAATTTAGGTTGGATAAGTACATGAGTGGGAGGGGTTGGATTTGAGTGGGACTTGCACATCAGAGCTTATTTCTTGGGTAGCATTGAAAATTGGGTTGGTCAAATGTTTGTTAGTGGGATGAATTGTAAAGGACCTGCCTAGTATGGGCCAATAGGCCTGCTGCAGTGTTCCTCCTTTCTTATGTTATGTTATTTTTTTTATTATTATTATTATTATTTAATTTCCTTTTATGTAGTGCTGTACACTGTTTATCTCAAGGATATACACTGTATTCTTTCAAAATACACTTTTCACTGCGCTATACTGGGATTATTGTTTTATTATTAACACAGCAGCTAGGCCTACGTTAACTTTCCCCTACATTTCTATGGAAAACTTTATTTCCTGTTTAGCAGAGGTAACGGTTGTATGCTCAATTTATGTATGCTGTGATTCCCTGCACCTCCACTGCATATTACATTATTATTATTCCCTGCATATTATATTATTATTATTATTATTGTATTATATTATTATACTATTACAGTGGACCCCCGCATAGCGACTTTAATCCGTGCAAGAGGGCTGATTGTTATGCGAAATGATCGGTATGCGAATGAATTTTCCCCATAAGAAATAATGGAAATCAAATTAATCCGTGCAAAACACCCAAAAGTATGAAAAAAAAATTTTACCACATGAAATATACATTTTCCTACACACAAAGAGAAGGATACATGCACAATAGTAGCGTAGTACATGCACAATATATATTGTGCATGTACTACTCTACTAAATGAAGAATAAATGACACTTACCTTTATTGAAGATACAGCAATGACTGATGAGACACTGTGTCCTGGGAGTGCCTTTTCCTCCTGAGTACTGTAGGTCCTGTTTGGCATTTTCTTCCAGAACAGGCTTATCACACTGTGTATGCCACTACGATTCTTAAATCTCTCAAACCAACCTTTGCTGGCTTTAAATTCACCAATATGAGCACTAGTTCCAGGCATTTTTCCCTGTTCACCTGGGTGTTAGTCGACTGGTGTGGGTTGCATCCTGGGAGACAAGATTAAGGACCCCAATGGAAATAAGTTAGACAGTCTTCGATGACACTGACTTTTTTGGGTTATCCTGGGTGGCAAATCCTCTGGGGTTAATTGTTTCTTGGTATTCTCAATAAGCCACACCAACAAGGTGCTACAGCAGCAGCAGCTGACAGTGATACAGCAGCAGCAGACGATGCTACAGCAGCAACAGACGATGCTACAGCAGCAGCAGACGGTACTACAGCAGCAGCAGCAGCAGCTGACGGTGGTACAAGCAGCAGACATGTCAGCAGCAGCAGACGATGCTACAGCAGCAGCAGACGATGCTACAGCAGCAGCAGACGGTACTACAGCAGCAGCAGCAGCTGACGGTGGTACAACAGCAGCAGCAGCTGTACCACCAATAGTAGCATGGTTGATTGGGGTTTATTATACAACCTGGCCAGCTCGGAGACACGCACTCCACTTTCATACTTATCAATGATCTTTTTCTTCATCTCTATAGTAATTCTCACCCTTATTGCTGTAGGGTTGGCACTAGAAGCTTTCTTGGGGCCCATGGTCACTTATTTTCCAGAAAAAATCACCAAAAACACTGTAATAATACGAAATGTTCCGATTGTATGCTTGGATGTTACCGCGGAGGCTGGCTGGTAAACAATCCCACCGGCGGCACATGTGAGGCTGGCTAAGGGCGCACATTGGACGCATCTCGGACGAAGAGCGGTGAGCGGGTTTTTGGGCGGTATGCGAGGCAAAATTTTTGCGATAAAAGCGAGCGGTATGCGGATTGAACGGTATGCGATGCGTATGGTATGTGGGGGTCCACTGTATTATTATACATATTATTATTATACATATTATTATACATATTATTATTATTATACATATCATTATTATTATTATATAAATAATTTGTAATTTTTATTCACACAAAAAATATAAAATTTACTGTTATTCCTTATGGCAATAATTGTATAAATAATGTCAACCCATTCACGACTGCATATTGGAATGGACAGTAACGTCATTTGTTTACTCTGAAACAGCCAAACAATGGGCCATTTCTCCTAGGTTGAGCTCTATTTCAAGGTACTTTTTGTCATGAAAGCAATTAAAATCATATCTATTTCTGTAATATATCTCCACTCTATCAAATGAGACCAAAAAAACAAGAATACAACCATAAAAACCTGAGAAGTGAACTCCATTATTTATTCTTAGATTTCTTCCATTTTTGGTGTATGTTAAGAAGCATCTTTCCATCATACATTGCCCAAGTTTCAATAAGATAATCCAACAAACAAATGAGATACAATTCCCGAAATCAAGAGCAAGAGTCCCTCACCAGTGTCAAGGAACCTGCCTTGAGGTCTGCTCAGCTTGTGGAAATTTTGCTCGTGTATGGAAGCAAAAAATCGACCCATCGACTGCTCGTATTTGGAAAAACTCGCACGTGGACAAGCTCGCAAGTAGAGGTTCCACTGTACAACATGAGTTCACAGCGAATGAACGCACGTCTGACCGAGACCAACTACAAAGCAAGGGTCTTTGCTAGGTGTACACGACAACAGGAAGTGGGGAAAATTTGCGCATGCAAAAAAAATGGCGTGGAATGTGAAACTTGGCATGACTGTTTGGCACCCAATTATGTGTTCATGACCAGATGCAAAAATTTGGCAAATTTTTTGGTCGTGAACTGATTTGTTCATGTTGGGAAGCATTCATGACCAGAGGTTCCACAGTATTGTCTTTAAATAGTGATTCACTTTACCTGTAACATTCTCTCTCTATTCTTTGTTGGATTCATTGGTGGCTCAGTGAGCATAATCTTGCATTCTCGAGGATCCAGACCCATTTTTTCTGGGCCAAAAGTGTAATCCCAAACATGGCACATATCTTCCCAATTTTTAACAATGCCATTCTCCATAGGGTATGTTACCTCCAGCATTGACCGTAATTTACTGGCTTCATCTCCCACCATGAGATCCTGAGGGTAAAAAAAATTAAATCAGTACCGTACCTGCTACTATTCATCCTGCCAGATTTTATCAAGTTAAAACAATTACGAAAATATAATCAACATTTATGTCCAATGACTGTACTCATAAAATTTCATGCAAAAATTATTTATAATTTTCTAAAAAAAAATTATATATGTAAATACAAATACTGACACTTTTTCACTGAGCTCTTTCTACTAATACTGTGCTGTACACATACAGTGTTCATGTTTTTCAGTATAATGAATATGTCTAACTACTGTATTTTTTAATCATACAAAAATTATAGAATTGTAATTACAAACTCTATTACATACAATATCATTACTACAGATTCCCCACTGTATTCGAGTCACAAGAATACAAAAGCAATGGGTACATGAAACTAGGAACTGATATTGTAGTAAGTCAATGACACTAAACATGGAAACCTATATTTTGCATTGTTTTACCCACAGTGGAGCATTAGAAAATACCACTGTGGGTGAAACGCCATAAAATAATGTCTTTGAATTACCGCTCGTCAGTTTTTGCCATCATGTAACAACAGTGTGGCTGCTACAGCTTAAGGAGCATTCGGGTAAAGAAGAAGTGTCTGAGGAAGGTGCAAACTACCAAGAAAGGTACTGGCCTAAAAGTAGTGTTTAGTGTCTAATAATGTTACTCATGCTTTAGCACACTGAAGTTTCACACAAAATGTAATCTCATTATTTTAATGGAACAATAGTTTGTGTGTGACAAAGAACTTAATTGGTTGAAGTACAGTATCTACTGTTCATACTCAAAATGGTTGTCCTGCTCATGAGACAGTGTAAGAACCAACTTGAGTTAAGACAGGATGTAACAAACCTGGCATTAATCTAAAGTTTCCACCAATACAAGCTGCTGCTCTGTGCAACACATCGAGCGAAACTACCAACCCTGCCTGAAATCATGTTAAAATCTGAATTTTAGAGCATCACAATGATGACATCAGTTACTGGTGTCATCAGTTACTGGTGTCATCAGTTACTGGTGTCATCAGTTACTGATGTCATTACCGTGATGACATCAGTAATTGAGTTTACTCTGTAAAATAGGGATTATAGTAAACTCAGAATATATACGATAAGAAATTTACATCTCTCAGTGAATATAACCTCCAATATTTTCACTAAGTTGAATGCCCTACTTACAGCCATCATCCACAGTCATACCACATCTGCCTGTGTTCTGCAAGCAATTCCATTTTTTTCATTTTTTCTGTATCTTTGTGCTTTGCATATGAAGTCAGCTCTATCACAGCTTTAGCAGATACTGAGATGTTATATATTGCTTTTTATCAGTGAAGTCTTCATTACATCATCCTTATAACTTCATTTTTTTCACTTTGACCTCCAACTGCCCTTTATGTTGCACACATGTATATTATTAATGCTGTGCACTTCTGAATGACCCTGGCAGTTTTTGCATTTTCCTATTATTAATCTTCCTTAGTTATGTACTTAATAAAGCTAGGGTCATATTTCATATGAAAGTCGAGTACTGTAAGTCTATTATAATTAATGAATAGTTCCATTATAGTGTAGTAAAAATTTCAAAAGCAATTTTGTTTTAAATTTGGCAAGTTTAGAAAGTGGATTGTAAGAGACTGCAGAAAATGCAACTGAAAAATACTAATGCTTAAGTAAAAATGTAAGAAGGTGAATGATAACAAAAGACAAAATTTTGTATTAAGGAATAACTTTAATTGTTTGTTTGGAACATAAATGAAATCAATTAGAAAATGATAGCACTATCCTGTTCACTTAGCAGATTTTGTGTAACATGATTTATGTACTTTATATGAAGCAATAAATCTGTGTAATCACTCGGCACAAGAACTCCTGGCTCCTTGATCCTACATCCTTTCACAATTAGTGAACAACAGATGAATTCTGGACCAGTGCTTGCACCTAATGACCCCATACACATTTATCACTGCATACAAAATAATGATACAACTACTAATACCTATGAAAGGTTAATACCTACATGGAGGCAGCAACAAACATGTGAGATTGTCTTTATACTCTGACCAACTGAGATCCTCTTCAGCAGATACAGAAGTGTAGGAGAAGCATGTTAAACAGGAGAAAAGAAGGTAAGTCACATGAAGAATCTGTCATGGCCAAGGAAGTTGATACTCTTCATGGTGGGTTGGGCTATTCTAAGTACAGTGGAGATGCTATGTTGGTAGTAGCAGTGGTTTAGAACTGAATATTAGGCTTGGTAGTGGTATGTGCTTTTCATCAAAATAAAATTTGAATTACATGAAGTTTCAGATGTCTTTTTGAAATGCCTGTATAGTACTGTCTATCAATGCTATCATGATATTTTCTGTTAGTGGATGCATTTAGTTTGTGTGTGTGTGTAGTTGGCTCCCTCCCAATTAATGTTATGACTCAAGATTTTACGTATATGTTGAAACAAGACTGAGCTTTCTTGGACCTATCTGATGGACAATTTATGATGTTACACAACTCTCCAAGCCACAGCCCGTCTGCCCCATGTAAATCAAAACCCAATGTTTTGAAACACACCTGGTGTTTGTGACTAAACTGGTCATTTATGGTTTCTAGAGAAACAATTTTCCATCTTGTTCATGTAAGAAAATGCTATATCTAAGACATTCTAACACTTATCCATTATAACTTGATGAAAAACACATACCAGTACCAAATATAACTTTGAATTTCAAAACACTATACTGCTACTACCACCAACATATCTCCACCTTGCACACTATGCAGGTTCCACCCACTTTCTTTTTCCATGAGATTCTTCATATGACTCGCCCTTCTCATTTTCCTATATAATATGCTTCTCCTTCACTCTCGTGAATCTGTTGAAGAGGATCTCCGATGAAGGTCAAAATATACAAACTGTCCCGCTTGGTCTCCATGTGGGATATGACCTTTCAGCAAAAACTATTTGTTACAATCTGACACAGCAACTAATACCTATAAACATTTATAAAACTAACAGAATACTGTGCTATTACTACTACAATTGTAAAAACTACCACCAACACCACTGCAATAACCAGCATAGAAGCTACAACCACCAAAAAAACAAGGTATGAAAGCATGTATGCACTAAGACCTGAGGAAGGTTTAAGGTACAACAATGCTCATTAGTTCACATTCAAAAGATCACTTGCCTTTGAAAGGATATACATTGTAAATTAGATTTAACAGAGTAATAAGGAAGAACAGGTGGGTGGTAATGATAATTGTTGTGGATAAACATGAGGGTGTTGTACTGTGATCATTACAATAATGGATATTACTCTAACTTAAATCTGTTAAATCCAGTGTTTATACAGTATACAAAAAACAACAAGGGAATCAACAGGAGTGGAAAACTCCAAGTTGCATAATTACAGAAAGAAAATCATAAAAATACATAACTTGTAGTCTGGTTGATAGCATCCTCAGCTCACATATTAAGGGTCTAGGAATCAATTCCAGCCCAAGTGAAACACTGGGCATGTTTCCTTACACCTGCTGCCCCTGTTCACTTAGCAGTAAGCAGGTACCTGGGTGTTAGCCAACTGTTGTGGGTCACATCTTGGGGTACAAGATTAACCTAAGTTGGGCTTTCTATATAGTATCCCAATGAGGTCAGCTAGGTCTATAATAGTTGTATCATGTACTTGTAGAAATAAAGACTATTTTATCATGTATTGTACAGTACAATAAACAAGGATAAGGCTGTATACACCAGGGTGAATACACATCCTTTCCTGCTCAGACAAAGAACAATTTCAACCTATTGTAGTGAAGGGATTAGAGTAATACAATCATGTCTAATGGCATCCCTTAACTTGTAAAGGATATACTGCATCAGTTTAAAAGCTTGAGGAGACTGTGGATTTTGAGGTAAAATAGTAAAACAAATATCAGCAGGACCTTTGTTTAGATAATAGTTGAGAGTACTCTTCCAAAGCATTGGTATGCCTTAACACCAAGCAACAACGAAGACTTCTGTGTCATCCTTCAAGTGCAGATGTCTTATTCCACCTCTGCCTTGAGCATCAGTGAGAAATTTCCTGTTTTCTTCCTGTACCACTCATTATCATTGCACAGCCTGCTGGGCAACTGATAGGGCCACCATATATTAGCTCTTATAGACTTGGGAAAAGTCTGTTATTGTTGAGGAGGCTGGAGACAGTGAGGAGGTAATGTTTAATGTCTCAGAGAATTGTATGGTGTGACTATAATGCAAAGAGTTTAAGGCATAGAAATTAAGGCAGCGTAAGGTTAAAAAAGATATTCAGAGGGCATATATCTGTGTTGCTAGGAGAATGTAGAAATTTTTATGTATTTTCTAACTTTTGATATTAAAAAGGTTACTAGTGTACTACAGCACTGTACTGAAGATGGCTATCCCAAATAACATGTTTATGTTTCTCCAAGCTCAAGAGGCCCCATGAAGAAGTACAAATTGCTCATGTTTGAAAATATAATTGTTCAGCAACTCCATTTAAAAGAACATTCTAAAAAAACTCATTATAGCCTACTGTATATCTTGACACAAGTATGTACTAAAACAAAACAAATCTGCAATGTTCTATGCTGTAAAATACCCATACTGTATGTATGAGACAAAATACAGAAAAATACCAGGTTTGTGCAGATTTGCTTTGCACAGTTTTCTCATAAAAAATATGCTCTCGTGCAAAACCTGGGATGCCAGTATGCCAGTGAATGTGGATAAATAAACCATCATAATACTTAACGAACCTAGAATACTTTTTATAAATTACCCAACACTGCAAGTATTCACAAATTCATGCTTCTAAAACATGTGTATTCATAATGCAGTAAATTACTTTTCAGTAATTATATGTATAATATGCCTCTTCAAATATGAAACAATAATTAATGCAGTTATTTTTATTTAAGAAAAGGTCCTGTATAAATAAAATGCTTGAAAATAACCAGCTTTATCATATCTTTAATAAACGAATTATTCACTTTCATGTTATTTTAACGTTAGCCGATCTTTTGTACACTTGCACATTAAGATAACATAAGAGCATGCTACACATTATATCACTTCCTTTCAATAATAATTAAAAAGTTTTGTGTGCAAAGGAAAATATACAAGACAAAGGTACTCTGTATGTCAATGGTAAATTAAGGTGTACAACAGCAGCAAATTAGGTGCACAAGAGCAGCAAATTAAGTGCACAAGAGCAGCAAATTAGGTGCACAAGAGCAGCAAATTAAGGTGCACAAGAGCAGCAAATTAAGGTGCATAAGAGCAGCAAATCATAAGTCATTACACATGGAATTTCAATGTGCCAAATACAGGAGCTATGAATCAGACCCCAGCAAATACAACTGTAGTTGGCACAAACACAAGGCAAACACACGTAGCAACATGCAACTCAAAGAGAAAGTCATGTTCTCTAGGACACTTCATAACTACTTACAGGAAAATGAGCCCACTCCTTCCATTTTAAGCAGCAATGCACAAAACAGTTAATGGACAATAATTACAAATGGAGAATCAGAATCAGACAATTATATTAGAGGGACTAATGTAGACACAGAACAAGTTATATACAGTACTGTATACATGTATGTATAATATTTATACATAATGTGTATGTACACACACACACACACACACACACATGGGGCCAGGAGCTGTGACTCGACCTCTGCAGCCACAACTAGGTGAGTACGTATGTACACACACACACACACACACACACACACACACACACACACACACACACACACACAGCCAGCCTCTCCGCATTTAACAATGGAGTTCCATTTCAAAGACCACATTGGTAAATGAATTCGTCACTAAACAAGGAGCACATACAGTGGAACCTTGAGTTTCGAACTTAATCCGTTCCAGGAGCTAGTTCTAAAGTCAAAACGTTCGAAACTCAAAGCAATATTTCCCATAAGAAATAATGTAAATACAATTAATCCGTTGCAGAAACCCAAAAATATTCACAAAAAAAAAAAATACATTTTATAAAGATTAATCATAGTTTTACATACACACAATAAACATACATAGTACAATTAGTAATAGATAAATATTTAAATAAACATATAAAATAACATTTTTACTTACCTTTACTGAAGACTGTTGATGGCATCTGGAAGACAGGGAAGAGTGAGAGAGCACTTATTGTTTGGAAGGCGAATCCCCTTCCATAAAGACTAGGTAACAAGTTCTTATCTGGGATTACTTCCCTTCTTTAAAATTTCCCTAAATTGGGACATGGTTCTGTCACTGAACTTGGTGCAGAGATGACTTGTTTCAGCTTGCTCAGGGTGATATTTTATGCCTGCACCCTCTTCCACATTGCACAAATCTCCTTAATCTCTGAAGAAGGCACCATCCACCACCACCGTCCTCAATATTGACCATCCACCATCACCACCACGGTAGCTTATTTCACAGTCGCACTTAATAAACAAGCACCAAACACAATGAATTAATTGTCAAATGTTTAAATGAGCACACCGGTCAGTGCTCACTCAAGCATAAACAAAGCCAGACTGGCTCATGATGCCTGCATGGGGATGCACACAGACCAGGCAGTCAGACAGGTCTGGTACCCGGCGGTTTGAAACACGGAGCAAGTTCAATACTCGGGACAAAATTGGTTCGAATAAAGCGGTCGAAACTCGAAGTGTTTGATAGTCGATACGTTCGAAACTCGGAGTTTCACAGTAATAATAGTGGGTTTGTGTCAACTACATACATGTATCTCTAATACGTATTGTTTTAATGTTATCTTTGCACCATTTATAACATTTTTAGCATACAGGTCCACAACCCTTTATCCGAAATTCTGAAACTGGAAAAGTTCCGAAAACTGAAGGTTTTTCGTGGAGCGTCAGTCGTCTCAGTGGTGGGTCACGCCGCCACGTGGTGGCGTTGAGAATCATTCTGAACTTTAAAAAATTCTGAAATTCAAAACAATACTGGCCCCAAGGCTTTTGAATAAAGGGATGTGGACCTGTATTTTTAAATGTACAGTGAATCCCCAGGTTTCGGCCACACTGAGAATCGGCTGCTTCAGGTTTCGACCATTTTTTCGGCCAAATTTTGTCCCTCATTTCGGCCATTGCCCCGGGTTTCGGCCAGCGTACCAGACCTGTCCGCCTCCCCATGCAGGAGTCATGAGCCAGTCTAGCGTTGTTTATCCTTAAGTGAACATTACCCTGAGAGCTCATCTTGCAAGCCGTCCAGCCAGCCAGCCAGTCATCCATCCATCCAGCTAGTCAGCCAGCCAGGCAGCCAGCCAGCCAGCCAGGCAGCCAGCCAGCCAGGCAGGCAGCCAACCACCCAGCCATCTAGCCAGCCATTAATTGTGACTGTGAAATAAAGAAAATGCCAGGAACCAGTGCTCATTTTAGTGAATTTAAGGCCAGCAGAGGCTGGTTTGACAGATTTAAGAAGCATAGTGGCATACAGTGTTGTAAGGCATGGTGAGGCTGCCAGTTCTGGCTAATTAGCTGAAAAATATGTGCCCTATCCTCCCTATCTTCCAGACGCCAGCAAGTTTCTTCAATAAAGTAAATGTTATTTTAAATGTTTATTTAAATTTTAATTTATCTACTGTATACTATACAGTGGTCCCTCAATTATCATCCTTAATCCGTTCCTGGAAGTGGGACTATTATCGAAATAGACGATTTTCGAATCAATTTTCCCCATAAGAAATAATGTAAATTCAATTAATTCGTTCCAGACATCCAGAAGTATCCACAACCATTTTTTTTTGTACCTAAAAGATAGATTTACATGCACAAAAGAATGAACATTCAACATGACAGTTACCTTTATTGAAGGCTGTTGTTGATGAATGGAAGACAGGGAGGAGGAGAGAGGGAAGAGAGGTTATTGTTTGGAAGGGGAATCCCCCTCCATAAGGACTCTAGGTCACTTCAGGGGTCACTTCCCTAGCATAAATATAGATTTACATGCAGAAAAGAATGCCAAATAAATGTAAAGCGCTAATAAAATGTATAAATGAACATTGGAAAATAGGGGTAGTTGATGAATGGAACGGTCTGCCTAGTAGGGTGATCGAAGGTAAAGCATTGGGTAGTTTCAAATTTAGGTTGGACAAATACACGAGTGAGAGGGGTTGGATTTGAGTCGGACTTGCACCTGAGCTTATTGCTTGGGTAGCATTTGCTCTGTTAGTGGGTTGGATTTGTGAAGGACCTGCCTAGTATGGGCCAGCAGGTCTACTGCAGTGTTCCTCCTTTCTTATGTTCTTACTGAAGACTTGTTTGTGTGAGGGAGGGATGGCAAGTTTATTGTTGGAGAATATGACACTAATATCAACTCTACAGCTTATTTATCTATCAAAATTCAACTAATATGACATAATAAACAATATTAACCCTTTCAGGGTCCGTCCCGTAGATCTACGGCTTTACGGTGAGTGTCCAAACCGTAGATCTACGCCATGAGCTCAGCTCACTCTGATAAACTGTGAGTGGTACATTTGGGCCTAGATATGAGAGAATACATCTATGTGGTATGTGTGCACCACATAAAACAGATCCTGCAGCACACTGTGTATAATGAGAGAAAAAAAATGAAATCATGATTTTTCGATTAAAACAGCAACTTTGCAGTGTTTTTTCGTATGTTTTTTATAGTTGTATTTGCGATTTCTTGGTCTCATTTGATAGAATGGAAGACATATTACAGAAATAGAGATGATTTGATTGGTTTTAGCACTGGAAATGGCTTGAAACTGAGCTCAAAGTAGCGGAAATGTTAAATTTTTGCCGATATTCAAGAGTAAACAAACGACCTCACACGTCTAATACACATCAGCTGGTGGGTCTAATATACATTCACAAATATGGTGATGATATTTATACAATTATTACAGTATTGAATAACAGTAAATCTTCTATTTTTTGGTGTGAATAAAAATTTATTATGTGAATAAAAAATAAAAATGGAATTTATTTGTAAAGCCTCAAAACATAACTAATGAACAGAGGAAATGTTAGTTTAGTGCCAGGAATGCCTACATTGTTTATTCTGGACCCTATTTTGAAATTGGAATATTTTGAACTTTGTGTTAAATTGGCCAAATTAACAATTTCCGATCACTTTATTTTGTAGTTGAAACAGTTGACTTGGCGATTTCTTGTGCTCAATCGATAGAATAGAAGTAATACTAGTGAAATAGCTAAGAATTTGGTTGATTGGAATAATGTAATTGGCCTAAAATGGTAGTCAAAGTCGGCAAAATCGCCGATTCGTAAATATCGCTGACACATCAAAATTCGCGAGAGCATAATTTCGTCAATTTTCCACCAAATTTCGTACTTTTTGTTTTATTACCTTCACAAAAAGATTCTCTACGATTTCATAAGAAAAAATAACAAATTTTTTTTTTGAAAATTCTTGGACACTGGTGCGTGACTCCAGATTTGGGCCTTGGACCCTGAAAGGGTTAATAACACAGAAACATGGAGTATACTCTAGAATAAATAAAATAAGCCATTATGTATGTTACGAGAGGTGTTATGGTGTGTTGTTGGGTGTATAAGGGCCACTGAGAGTAAGCCGTCCACATTGGTGGTGAAGCAGCAGCTGAGGCGGCGGTGTTTTCTGTAGCCCTATATAACTCCAACAACATTGGAGGAGTTGGAAGAATTGCTGAATCACTGAAGAAGGCACCCTCTACCACCATCACTACCACCTTCTACCACTATTACAACTGCTACCACCATCACTACCACCTTCTACCACTATTACAACTGTTACCACCATCACTACTACCTTCTACCACCATCACTACAACCCTCTACCACCATCACCCACTATCACAACTGCTTCCACTCTACCACCACCACCTTTGTATTTTTCTACAAACTTTTTCATAAATTATATGTGTTTCTCACATTCTTTACCAAAGGGCTGGCACTAGAAGCTTTCTTTGGAGCCATGGTAGCTTATTTAGCACTTGCAAGCACTAAAATCAATGGAATATTATGAAATATTTCATAGGAGCAAGTGAGGGGATCGTCGCTCACCGGTAAACAATGGCACACTGGCTGGGAAGGCAGGCCCAGGAGGCTCAGAGTGCGAGTATACGTCCCGGACGAAGGACGATTAGAGAGTTAATGGACCATTTGCAAGCAAATGTTTAGACGAAATAACGGGACTATTTCCGAAATGGACGACTTTCAGGCCGGACGATTATTGAGGGACCACTGTATATGTACACCTACCATCCTACTTACGACCGAGTTCGGTTTTGAGAAACCGGTCGTAAGTCGAACTTTACTACTGAATATCAACAAAACATTTTTGTAATGACTATTTTATTGTTTTATTTTGGTATTTCATGTTTTACTTTACTTTTTATGTTGTTATTTTTTTTTTTTTTTATTATCACACTGGCCGATTCCCACCAAGGCAGGGTGGCCCGAAAAAGAAAAA